AGCGTAGTCATCCGTCAGACACTGGGGCGAACCCAAGAGCACCAAGAAACTCCAGACATGGGTTGAGGCCCCGCATCATCACGGAGCGCGCCTCGTCTGACAGATCCCGTTCTCCCACACGAATTCGGGCTCGGCCTGTGGACACGTCATCTACCTGGTACATACCGGCCTTATCCCCGCCTCGTGTGGCACATCGAGATGCTAGTGACCACAATCCTGGTACTCGGCCCGAATCGATGTTGGATCGGCTGCCGCCGCCTCGTCCACTTGCTCCCTTCGCCACACGCGGTGGCCGAGAGCCAGGACAGGCGTCGCCTACGACACCTGATTCGGATTCTGATGGCTCGGTACATCCGCATCCAGGTGCCTCGTCGTTCCGGCCCTCGCCTACGGTGGTTCATGGTCCTCGGGAACTTCTACAAGAATTCACCATTGCACTTCGCAATGCATACCGTGAACCTTTCACGGCATGGACACAGGGTGAGCTGGATGAGATGGTGCGACGGAAGAAAGACAAGGATTCCAGGCCCACCTATAAGACCATAGCTCGGTTTCTTCAGAAGCCGATTGAGGAAGTCAAGCAGGCATGGAAGGTCTATCAACAACTTGAGGCTCGCGGCTAGGAACGCGGTCGTCCAATGCGGCAGCGACCATCGGAGGACTAAATGGTAGCCTGTGGCGGCGTGTTCGGCTCTTGTTGTTGATCACATGCTATTTGCTTGCTTGCATGAGACTTGCTCTTGCTTGCCGTTGTGGGAGATGCCGTTAACATGAAGTGAAGTCATGACTGAGTTGCTCAAATCATGTCGGAACAAGTTGTACAGACGTACATTACCTGGACCCATGGAGCACAGCCGACGTGGTTACAATTTCATGGACCCGGGGCTTTACTTGACAGACCCATTCGGCAGACTACGTCGCCTCCGCCCCCGCCGAGTTTCCCATTGCTTCTTCCACCTCCTCCTCCACCACCACCACCACCACCGGTGATTCTACACCCACAGTTTATGCCCTCGGTACGCAGCCCCTCGATCTCAGCCCCTCGCGGACAATCCTGCCCTACCTCTTCAAAATCGCAGCGCACACGCCGCTCGATCTACAGCACTGACCATTCCCGTGATGAGGAACCACGCAGTCCAGGGCGCTCGTCCAAACGATCTCGGACAGCATCCGCTTCAGCGCCGCGGCGATCACGACGGCCCTTTACAGTGTTTCCCTCCAAACGTGCTGGCCGTCCATCGCAGTCCCCATCGGCAACTTGCAAACACTACTGTCATGCCATCCTGCGCCATGGGCGGAAATGTCTTTCTCCTTGTGCTCGCCGACGACCAGGACACTATCATTGCAGGTGCGCGCGACATCAACGACAGTGAAACCTAGGAGTCGGACATTCCAGATCTAGTTGCTGTGTTTCACCTTGAGTTTGAAAAGTTGTCTCACTCTCCAGCGGATGTGCGCGGTTTGCAATGCATGTGTGTCTTTGCCGCAGACTTTCGACTAGTTTTAGCTGGCGAGCCTGCATTGCCGCTATGAACCCCCAGTATTTCGAGTACCAGATCGACAGAGGAGTGGAATGGATTCGCATTTACCGTCCGGGCCTTTGGAGACCCGTTCCCGATGATGCTCCAGTTCCTGACCCACTTCACGTTTCCACGTATCGGGAGTGGCGCAGATCATATCACTTCCAAGTGTACTGGTCTGAAGACAGCACCGGAGGCACCACCACGGATCCCATAGTTACGCCCAGTTCCTATGTGTCTTACCACGTGTGGGAGTACCGAGACTGGCAAACACGAGGGTATCAACGACTTGGAGCTCCTGTGCAATCCATCGGATTCGCGATGCTCGTGAATGCAGACGTCGATTCCTCGGTGGGCTCATCGGTACCGGATGGGGCGTGGCGGGAACCGTCGCCGCCACCATTCCATGATCCTTGGAATGATTCGGAGTGACACTTGAGTAGCATGCCAGATAAAGAGGCGGTTGTGCTTGCTTTGTATGTGAGTCCACGTTGAGTTGTCTTGCTTGGTGGTGTACATTCCGTCTCTATTGGTTCGCCGCTTTCCTCCATAACTTTGAGCGGCTTGCCGGGTTGAAATGTTCAATAGTACAGTGCAGGGTGCAGCCGGATGGGTCCTACCTCGCTATTTTGACTACGACATCGTCAATGGGCCAGCAAATACGACTGTGGAATGGATTCGGATCTATGTACCGGGTCAGTGGCATCCAGTCGCCGCGAACACCCTGGGACCGGCCCCGGAGGACTCAACCACTTATCGGGAATGGCGCAAGGTCCATCACTTCGAAGTGTATTGGCCTAGTGAAAGCACGGGCGGCACCACCGCAGGCACTTTTTCCCAACCGGTATCCTATGCAACCTTCTATACTTGGTATTACAGGGACTGGGTCACCAGGGGATACCAACGTCTGGGTCGTCCACGACCCAGCATCGCGAGGCCAGTTTTCGCTTCGGGTGCACCGGACCTCATGTATGCTGGACTGACCTCCTCCTCGGCATCATCCAATTCACATGATGGCTGATGTCCGTCCTCGACTTCCCGGGGAGTCTGTTCAGTTCAATTCGATTCGGGAGATTGACTTCGATGCTGGAGCCGCGCAGCGCTGCAAAAGGTCTGTTGCGTTGTGATAGTTGTTTCGCTTTCAATCATTGTTTTCTGCAGCCGTGCAACTATCAATTTGTCTTTCCGTGGTTTCGTTGTCATGGCGTGGCTGGAATGGTGTCCGGATCCTCAACAACCTGATGCCCAGTGGGTCAAGATCTTTCATCCGGGACCATGGACGCCACATGAAGAACATGATGCTCCACCTCCTCCACATACTTTTAGAGAATGGAAGGAGTACTATGCTCCCAGCCAGGACTCAGTCGGTGGGCAGGTCCAAGTCACCACGTGGTACAAACGAGACTGGGCCACAGAAGGCTATCGGAGAGTCGCTGCCCCTCACGCTGGTCATGAAGTTGATTCCATGTATCTCCCTGATCATCACAGCGTGGCCACGCAGTCTGCGGCATTGAGTATGTCACCGGAGCTGTTAGACGCGATTCTCAGGTCCTCGGATGCGGCTGATTTCTCTACCGAAGAGCTGACTCGTCTCCAGGAGGGGATTTCTCAACAACTGACAGCTCGCGCACGTCAAGCTTCCCAACCTCATCAACCAGTACGTGCATCGCGTGGAAACACACCATCGGAGACGATTGGGGTCTCCGAGCCCTACCGGCCCGTGAATCCTTCCGACAGCGGCAGGGACAAGGCGAGTCCCATCTTCGAGCTGACTGAGGACTAGACTCGCATGAGTGATGCAGCGTACAAAATAAGGGTGGTCTCTGCACTTGCATGATCTTGCTTGGTTGTTGTTTGAACATGGTTGTGCATGGTGCCTGTTCAACTACTAGCTGGATCGGAGCCCGCGACAATCCTTGCCTCTCACTTCGACATGGACATCGATGATTCGAAGCAGCACCCATGGCTCGAATATTCGGTCTGGCAGGATCAGGAGTGGGTGCGGATATACACTCCAGGACAGCCTCAACGATGGCACCGCGGTGACGCCGTACCTGATCTACCTGAGAATTCTTTTCGGGAATGGCAGCGGGTGACTGATCCCAATGAGCCGGTCCAGGCATGGGACATCCGTGACTGGCAACATCAAGGGTACCAGCGCATTCTGTCTCGGATTGAGTCCTTCGCAACTCATTATCCGCATGATCAATCTCTTGGTCAAGTTCAGGACTCCGATGCCGTTCCAGTTGAGGAGACGTTCACCTACGCCACTCCTTTCTCTCATGGTGATCGCCAGGCTGCTTCGCAAATCGCTTCAGTCCTCTATGGCGACACTCGCAACGCTCAACGTGGTGATCTCTCGCTCCCGTCTTCTGAGCGGTTTAGGGCTGTGTCTCGCTCCCCTCGCCGTGGTGGATATTTTGGTCAACGATAGAGATTCCAGATGGAGCATGTGATCTTCCTGCAGAAAAAGAGAAACCTCGCCCCTCGTAGAGGGGCGTGTGTGTGTGCGGAGTGGCAGAGAACCCTGCCACCAAAACCTTTTTCTGTTGCAGCAGGGCACGGCAGTCATTCTCTAGCCGTGCCAACGAAGCTGTGAGAATGAGCCGGAAGGGAGTTTGGACGCAAACTCCTGTACCTGCAAGTGATTCTGAAAGTCCTTTTGGCCCCCTTGGTTGCGGCGCTGTTTGTGCTTCTTGTTCTTTCGGGTAACGTGTTCGCTGCTAGAGGGAAGCCGAGTGCATCGCGAGCAGAACCCAGTCGAGACTCATCAGTTGTACTCGAGACTCATCAGTTGTACTCGAAAGATTAGCACTCTCCATCTGGAGTTCAAGTGTGTTCTTTTGCGTGGGGGAAAAAAAAAAGAAAAAAACAACTTCAAGGTCCCTGATCCTCCGAGTTCATCTATGCCCAAGGGAACGCCACCATTGTTTGGACTCGTTGTTCGCTGGGCATCGAAATCGAAAGGAAACAGCCCATTAGGGTTGTTGGCCAGACGTGAGGGTTGATCCATATTCATATTCTGTTCCAGGCCCCCAAATGACCCATTTGGTGCGATCAAAACTCATGATGGATCCAGTAACCATCATCCAAGAACGACTCTACCGCAAGCCCCGCAAGCAGACAGCATGCTCGGTTGACCCAACCATCCGGTGGACTCCCAGCCAGGAACAACGTCACCTAGGACTCGGTGGTGTCAAAGGAAAAGCCCGGAAATTGCGAACGGCTTTCGGCTTCTCATCTTTGAAAGGTGAAAAGGTCGCCCAGGGTGCCGACCAAAGCAAACCAATCAATCCCAGACAAAAACTCCCAGGGCGGATGTTCAGGGACCCTACAAACCACCCTCAGAGTTATGAGGTGTGTTTTTTCTTAGGGGGGCCCAAAAAAATGGTGGTGTTCCGTTGCCTCCCCTTCCATCCAACCCGAAAAGGGCTATCCTCAAAAAAGGACACGGCCATATCCAAAACAAATGTCCCCCGCCTTTCAGTGGGCGAGCCATCTTCCCTGTCGTCCTTCGCCATCTCTTGCGGCACCGAGTATTGCACCTGGCCAAAGAAAACGAGCCACAAATCAAAACCCACTTGAGCAGCGTCCGTTTCATGTGAAACGACCATCTAGGAATGATCCTCTTGGGGGTTTGGCCGCTGCTCAGTCATAAATCAAAACCGATCGGTATTAGCATGGTTTACCCAGAACCACTACAGAATTCAAAAGGCGCCGAAGGCACCCGTTTGTGGTTGGGAGTATCCCTTACTAACCTTCATCTACCCAGGCTTTGATTGTGGCTCATACAGGGAACATGCTCCCCGGAATTCGGGGACACACCATGCAAGTCGGTAAGCCTGTATAGCCCCTCCCCACCCTCGAAAGAAGGCACGCCATTCATTGATAGACGCAGGTGCTAAGGTATGTCTTTCCCTATGGTAGGCTAAAGGGAAGACAACCCCATTTTCTAACTTTAGCCAAAAAAGACGTCATAAAATCATGCATGACCCCAGCCAGAATCAGGAAAAAGGCATAGCCACAGTTCTGCATGTCAAACCCCCTCTGGCCTCGTTTTGGCCGTCACCGAACGCGCCAAAATGGCGGTGATCTTCCATCGGGAAGGCGGCCCGAAAACTCCGAGCCCTCGGATTGCGGGGGTTGCCCTCTTTCCAATGGATGACAGGCGAAAGCCGAAAGTAGTCCGCAGCAACCATCAAATCCTCAGCTTTGGAGAAAAGGGGAAGACTTGCCAGAGCTTTTCGCATCGGCCAACAACTGCCGAGGTTTTTTTCAGCACCCCACCTCCTTGCCCTCCGTGCGCCAATTGGAGCACCTCGGTCACAGTTCTTCCTGCCCGCCGCCCTCGTTGCCAAATTCCATCATTAAAGGCGAGCGGCCGGCAGCAGACGTAGATGATGGCCATGGCGTCGCTGACAATGGTCTCTGAGAGTCTGTAGTAAACCGCCTGAGCCATAAGACCAAAAATCAAGCGAGTCATAACCAAACCCCGCTGGGTACCAAAAAGTTGGTCAGTCCCAAAACCCCCACCAACAATTTCAAGTGAGTCACAATCAAAACCCGCTAAGTACCCCAAAACAATTGGTCAGTCTCCAAAACCATGGTCAAGAGTTACCACGGAGCAGGTTGGGAGTCGAGGGCGTGGCTCAGGTCAGTTCGTGTCCACAGTTGAGTCCCCTCTTCTCTGAGACGTTGCCAATGCAAAACCCACTAAGAACCTGACCTGGCACTCGTCCGAAACATCACAAGGTGAGCCATGCACTGTGTGTGTGTGCTTGTTGCTTTGTTGGTGTTGGTGTGGGGGGGAGGGAGTTAGGTCCACAAATTCTGTTTCCCGCGCATGGGAAAACAAGGAGAGTCGCCTGGTGAGAAAACTTTGCAACGTTGCCCCCCAAGGGATCCAAGGCACCCACAGACCCCTCCCCAAATGCGAGGCCTTGCAGCTCATTTGGCCCAAGGTCATATCAAGCCGGAGGTGTTAGGGTCCCTACTTGAAGACCAGTTGCTTGGCTTAGGCACGATCTCAAACCGCGGTTGGTGGACCCACCCTTGGGGATAGCCACGAAGAAAGTACTGAAAGAGTACCCAACAACTGCTGCAAACATGGGCAATACACCATTTTAGCCTGAGGTGTCGGTCATGTACGTGCCATATTACACTTCTTGGTTGGAATCATAACCCCCCGGTTGATTAATAGGCGGCTATTACTGGGACGGGTTTATTCCTCCTGGGTCAATATTAAGGAACCCGAACCCAGAGGAGCCCAGAGGAACCCAACGGAACCCGAAGGAAAGCAAACTTCACCAAAGCACAAGCCACCATCTGTGCGGCTCGTTTAAAACGCACTCCTACACCACGAGATGAAAGCCATGCGAGACCATTCTTTGTTGGTGTTTACGTTGGGGAACCAAATCATTCCCTTGGTTTCTAAGTTCGGTGGTGCGCAATGGATTCGCCACCATCCACAGTAAGTCCGCATTGTGTGGGTTGAAGTAGACTCCCGACTCAAGTGGGGACAGTCAGTTTCCAATCGAGCATCTGTCGGTGTCCCAAAAGGACACGTGCCCAAAGCCAAATGCTCGGGTTGGTCAATATTCCATTTAGAGCCCGCAAATGACCGTGGGGAAAGGTATCGCACTTCGCGGTTGAAAAAAACACGTCTTTGTTTCTCAGTGTCCAACCAATGGTCATCCCATGTGAAGACCTTTTGATCAACCCAAATGGGCGTGGCTCAAAATGATTTAGAGCCAGGGTTGCGCAAACCGCAGGTTTGAGTCTTTGGCTCCATCTAATGAGGAACCATGAACAGCCAATGTGAGAGTCTGTCTGCCCAGTCGGTCACCACAAGCTGCCAATTGGCCATGGGTCAAAAATTGTACCCCCAGTAAACATCCCAATCCCCACTAAAATAGGTTCTAAATCAATTCCAAAACCGTTTTGACCACCACGGCCATTCACCTACCCACCAAAATGAATTGGATCCCATTTAACCGTTTTGACCACGGATCCAATTTTGGTCTCGGATCGGATCCCACTCCGCTCGCGGAGCGAAGGAGTCGCCCCCCGAGTCCTCCGAGCCCCCCGAGTCGCTTCGTTGTGGCCGCAGGCGTGGCAGCAGTAGTCGTAGACCTCGAGGGAAGGTGAGAGATGTGCCACGGCTCGAGCAACCGAGAGATGAGATGAGCTCCTCGAAGCTCCGAGAAAACAAAAAAACAAGAGTGGCCGAAAACCTCCGGATGGGTTTCGGGCTGGTTTTCTGGGGGGAGAATGGCTCTCCAGCCACAGTTTGACAAGATTGGCCCAACTTGACACTGGGGCGCTGACTCTTGGCAGGGTGGGGTCGTGGATGATGTCCGGCATCACGATGATAGACTCCTCGTAAAATGGGCCCTCAAAAAGAATCTGAGCAACATGTGGGAGCCTTTTTCCCTTCAACGAGCAACTGCGGTGGAACGGCGGGAAGGCAGACCTCGTGGCCAGGGCCCCTGATCAAAAGCCTCTTGCACAACAAAAAGGGACCCAAAAAAAAAACGAGCCTCGAGCCGAATCGAGCCTGGAAACATAGAGAGAGAGAGAGAGAGAGAGAAGAAGAAAAAAGAGAGAAAAAAAAACGGGATTCGGACACGCATTTGCTTTGGGGAATTGGAAACGGAAAGGAAACCACCCGGCGATCATCCAACAACTATCGTTCGAAGCGCGTCCTAACCAGCTAGAGCCAGCTGAAATGGCCCCTTTTGCGCCGGGGGTTCTCTGAACTTTGAGCCCCAAAAGCTTGGCGCCGCGGCTGATCCGCTCCATCGGATGGCGGTGAAAGCCAGAGATCGCACCCCAAAGGCCCAACGGAATGGGCCCCAGAGAGTCTTGCGGCATCCCCAACTCGTGCCGAGCGGCCGTGCAACTGTACACAGTCCAGGAAAATTCTTATGAGAGTTTCTTAATAAAGCGCTAGGGAAAAACTTAGGGGGTTTCAAATTGCCCCCCCCCCCTTACCACCCCCCCCCCCCCTTAAGAACCCCATAAAACTCCGGGTACAAACGCCCAGACCTGACGAGCGCCTCGACCTGGGAGGCTCCCACCGGCCATCCACCCCGATTCGATACATCTAGGGGTGGATTCCTTCCAACCATTCTGTTCAACCATCCTTCTGTTCAAGCAGCTGCTTTCCAGAGTTTGAGGGTGTCCTAAAAAGAGGGATCCAAAAAAAAAAAAACGCGCAAACATGGAAAACTAGAGTAAAATTCATCCGATGTTCCCTGCGTCCTTGGCAACATACAGCACGTCGTGGCGGAACACGCAGAGGTCGTCATTCCTCTTCTTGCCGCCGCTCTCGTCATCCTCCAAATGCCAAATGGATGCCATTCCTACACGTAGCACAAGGGAAGCCACCAAAACATGGAAAACTATGGGCCACTGCGTTGCCACTACAGAGCAAGTCTTAATCTTTTGTGGCGGTTTAGGGCAGTACAGGATATGCCTGCACATCTCAATTCTATATGCATGCCTGTATACATGTGTATAGAGAGAGAGGGGGGGCGCGGGAGAGGGAGATTCGAATGAATACTACTCTAAACTGACTTACATCAGCTGTGATCCACTAGATTCCCGACCCCAGCCCCACCCCAAACTTCCCGGATGAGTTGCATCGACACCCGGCCTCCATTTCCGCAACCTGGCGGAACCCAATCATTGTCTTTTGTTTCCCTTGGGCCTTATTTGGCCTACCTTGGCGCCCTGGCTATTCGGTCACCTTGGGATGAAATGTGGGGAACCTTACCATGGGATGAGCTTTCGCGCTGGGCGTGGTCTTTGGGGCGTCTTTGGGGTCACGGGCAAACAATTCCAAGTAATGGACTCTTGACCAATCCGATTCTCCATTATCCCTACCGCTACAACCACAACCGCAGGGGGCCAAATCCGTTTGCTGGGCTTTCAATGGGAAACCACCCCCACCCCCCCACACCACACACACACACACACCTTTAGGAAAGACTAGAATTTCACCTTTTTGGGAGATGTATTTGGGGTACCAGGATCAGAACCTCTTTTTTCGTCATCGAAAGAGCCAAACCCGTTGTCTTCTTGTTCCACCCAAATTCAAAGGAGTCATGAAAGGGACCCTTCAGAAAAATTCCGGGAAGAACATGTTGACATTTCCGAGGCAATCCTTCCGCTTTTTTTTGGGACCTGTAGCAAAAGGTTCCACTCCTGGACGCACTGGATTCAAGGCTGAGGGAATCCCTAAGGTAGGTTCCGCCACATTGCTCAAGACCCCAACCCCCCCAATTGAGTGGAGCCCACATCCCGGCCGAAGCCAAGAATCAGGCCGTCCCGCGAGCCGGGGAGGGTCCCGGCTCGGCTCGCAAAGCCACCATCAGAACCTCTTTGGCGAGGCTCTGAAGTCTCGCAGGGAGTCAGGGGAACCTCTCGCGGAATCGGCCTTCCCAAGACCTTCACTTCTTGGGGTCAACTTCCATTCCGGTCCCGTCCAGAAATTGGGCCTTTCTTGGCGGCCAGGCTCGAACGCAAAAACAAACAAAAAAAACGGGCGCCGGCCAGGGAGCCCGGAAAAAAGGGGGTCCATGGGCTCAACTCGCTTCCGTCAGCGCGGAGGCCCTCCACGGGCTCCAATTGGCCTTCGAACCTGAGAACTTATCCAGGGAAGGCTCGTTGCATTTCCCGGTGGAAGGCTCCTTTGAAGAGCTGACGTTCACCCCCCCCCCCCTTCCCGTTTTTGAAGGCTTGGGCTGGGGGCGGATCTCTGACCTCCAGTTGACATTGTCCTTTTAAGGCTGCGGGGCAAAAATTGGTAGCCATTTTAAAAACCCTGCGACAAATGGAAACGCGGACCAAAACCTGCGGTCCGATTCCTAGTAGTTTAATTTTGACCCGCACCCCCTCCTTAAAAAAAAAAAAAGAAGAATATGTTTGGACATGGGCGCCCAATGGCCATGGGTCAAAATCCAAATCGTACCCCCAGCGAACATCCGATTCAATCCAACCACTAAAATAGGTTCTAAAATGAGTGGTGCATTCACCTACCAACCAAAATGGGATCCCAAAACGGTTTTGACAACCACAGCCAAATGGCAGTCTTCAAGAGCACCAAACCAAAAGTGAGTCATACTCAAAACCCGGAACAAATATGGTGCACCCAGAACCATGTAAAGAACTTTGAAGGCGGATATCCGCAGCTATCTATGGCAAGGGGATCGTCCCTTGCTAACCTTCATCTACCCGGGTTTTGTGCCTTTCATGTTGACCCCAGATTCAGCTGATTTAGGGGGGGCGGCCCCTTTTACTGGGGATTCAGACCACTTTTGAAGGCCCCCCCACCCGTACATTAGTGCTGTGGATGGTTCCGAAATCCGCGAGTCTCGCTCAAGTGGTTTGAGAATGGGTCCCTCGCCTCCACCTTGGAGCAGACCTTGCAGGTAAAGACCAGCTCCTCCGCAACAAAATGCGGAGCTAAGTCTGAACCGGAGCCACAAAGGAGTCCTGTTAGGTGCTTGGAAAAAGATATCCATTCAAGCAACCCTGACAAAAAAACATGCAACTGCAAAGATCAGTAACATAGGGGGGGGGAAAAAAAAAAAAAAAACAATCAGAAAGCAATATTAGTCTGTTGTAACTGTTAAATGTAATGATTTCCAAAATCCAAGAACTCTAAAGAAGAAGTGAAAAGAAAAAAATACAAGTCAGGATTCTTGATAAAGTAGACAGATTGTAAATGTGCTCAGTCGTCCCAGAAATAGATAATAGAAATGATAAGATCACAATGTGAATATGATAATAATATGTCAAGGATATGATTGATATGATGTAACTTCATTGCTGTTTGCTTTTCATAATGCGAGGAAACCTGCGGGACATGCAAGAGATTAGACAAGAAAAATTAATATAGAAATGTAGAGATAGAAATGATAAAGAATTAGAAGATGGAAATGCTTGGGATTTTGCAGGGCATCTTTGCCTTTCCTTTCCCCATATCCTTGCAATCTAGTGCTCGTCTTTGGTACAGTTGGGGATTTGGCTCGCAAGGGTGACCCTCCCACCAGCTAACATGGAAGTGCACAGACCCCTGTAGAAAGACTACTTTCCTCGTGGAAAGGGCCTTTTTGCACTTCCATTAGTTGGTGGGAGGGTATTACAAATGCGAGCAACTTCACCTTGCTGCCCCTTCAAAGTGAGTCATGAAAACCGTTTCGGTAGCCAAAGGAGGCGGCGGCTCCCATTCGGGGATTCCCCCTGATGTTGACCCCCAAGCATCCGGGAATTCCCTAAGGAGTCCCCACAAGAAAGCGATGTGGCTCAAAAACATGGTAAATGGATTCAGAGACTATCTCCTGCGTAACCCTAGCAATTTAAGTTTGAGCCACACCCATAAAAGGACCCTGAATCACAATCATAAAGGCTACGTTGATTCGACATTAACCTTCATTCTATATCCGGTTTGGGCGGTGCATCCGCTGTGTTCAATGAAAAGGACCCGAATCACCGCGTCCATGATCCCTTTTGGGATTCTCCTGATATCCTCAAGCACCCCAAACTCACCTTCCCGAGTTAGATGGATGTCGCCAACCCTTGGTTGGAACTTAAACTTCTCGTACATTCAGGTGTCTCCCAATTGGCGTATTGGTGGTTTGGATTTGACCCGTTCTTGCGGGGTAAATGGCAAAACCGACCACCAAACCAAAGCACCGAAACTGATCACCCATTGAGTGAGCTTCAGCTGAGAAAATCTCAGCTCCCCCCGAAGCAGGCCCTGTCCATCTTCTCGTTCTTGCCCATCATCCAGTTGGAGTTGTTGCAATCCGGGCCTCGAATCTCGCACGGATGAGAGACCTATTTCGTTCTCGCGGCACGGAAGTGTTGCCGTTGAGGAATCCTTCATTCTGGGAATGGCTTTGCGAGACTCGCGGATTTCTGCGTTTCAGTCCACGGGATCGTGCATGGGCACTTTCCCTTGCGATGGGCAAGGAATGAGTTCATAACCGCGAAGAATATCATCCCTTTTAAGGGATTCCTTCAGTTCATTCCCAAACTGTGGGTTATTCCGTCCTGAGCATCAGGAAGCTCCTTTCTCCAAAATCATCCAGAAGCGCCTAGTTTTGAACCACACTTCGTGTGCGTAACTCGCGTGGCAAACTTTGGTTGGCCCCTCGAGAGGTCCCGAAAAATGTTCTTTAGCCAGCAGGAAGCCAGTGTTCGCCATGGAAGAATCGAGATCTTGAACAAGGGAACTCCAGTTTCGCTGTGTTGGACTGAAAACAAAAGAACGCCATCTGATCCATCTGCAGTCCTTGGAGCAACGTCGAGAAGCGAGATTGCAACCATCGGAAATGGACCAAGCAAAACCGGTACCTAGCAATATTGTTGTGACCCTTGCTGAAATCACCACCCCAATTAAGCAGTCAATATCCCTGTTTGACAAATCAAGAGAACTCAGAATAAGCACGTCAATCATCATCAAAACCTGGTATTAAAATGGCCTACCCAGAACCATGCTTCAGGAACTGTCTGGCTGGGATTATCCCTTACCCCAATTACCGGGTTTTGAGGATGCGACTCACATGACGCGGGACCCGTCCAAGAACTTGGATCCAAGCAGAACCTCAATGCTGCTCTGTAGGACGACATGGCGTGAACCGGCACCCGGGCGGACCCCGCTGTCCTTACAAAGCAATATTTTTTTCTTTAAGGTGGACCCCCCAAATAGAATGGATGTCGGTGTTCTTGCTGGGTGTCCACACAAAAAGACGAGCCACCCACAAATTTGCTAGTGTGTGTGTGTGTTCTTGTGTGTGTGTGTGTGGGTGTGTGTTTTTGTGTGAGGCTCGGATTTCCTCCTCTTTTAGACAAGCCATCCCAGTGAATTAGAAGGGGTCCATCAATAATATGTTCAGGGGATCGTCCAACTCCGGGATCCTTTTGTTTCTGTGTTGTTGTCTTACTGCCACTTTGATCGATGTCCAAAAAACTCTTGACTTGACAACACAGCGCAACGATGTCTTTCTCGGCTGCTCAAAAACGGAACCACTGCACCGGTGCAAAGGCGGTTGTCTAGTTTGAGAAACCCACAAGGCGTCAAAGCGGGGATTTGGACCCCCCAAAGCTGTGACTCCGCCTCTCCCCCCTGAGGCCAGCTTTGATGAATTTCATCGGCTGGCTTGCCTTTTTTAAGGTGTTGGCCCCCGCACTGGCGCAGCTGCATTCCGTTTTGGTGAAGCCTGGAAAACCACCACAAAAGGTTGGCGCTTTCAACAGAACTCCCGAAACATCACGAGGCGCCAGGAAACACATTGCAAACGCAATAACTTTGTATGCAAGAGGCACACATCGTATACACGAGGCATACATCTGGATTCTTTTCTTCGGGTCCCATGGATGCATCAGGGAACGTATCCAAATTGTTTCAATCAAAGAATAAGCTCGTTTTTGTCCGTAACGCCCACAAAGGCCACAGTTAACATCTCTTGCATAAACGTTTTTGGCGCAAACTAGATCAATAACGAAAATTGTTGTACCTCGGTGCTTTACTTTGCAGCCCTGTCGATTGAGCAATTGCCCACCCCCAGTTTCCTGCGTTTAAATCGTTGCGCCGTGATGCTAAGGATGTTCTAGGGTTGAATACCGTCTGATTGCATGTCCCTAGATGTCCTTGTTTCGACATGTATAAAATCGAGCAGCAAAAAAACAACAAAACACCATTGAACGCGAATTGTCAACTCAGAAGACCACGAATCAATGCACCAACCATCAAGGCGACAAGCAATAAAAACAACCAAAAACAAAATACCAAAAAGGCAAAAAAGGCAAAGAAGGTTACTAAGGCAAACAAATCAATTCAACCCGCTGTTGGAAGCAAGATGAAGCTGCACTCGACATTTTTAAGCGGCTTTTTGCAACTCGCGATTTGTACACTTTGCTACGCACACGTTGACAGAAAAAAATAAATCGCCGCGGCCTGGTGCACGACTAGACCTAAAAACGCACCTTCCAGGTTCGCGCAAGGTTGCACACGCACTACGGAAGCACCCCCGAACCCTCGCCGCAAATAAAGAACCGAGCGTATTACTGAGGGGGGCCGGGGGTTTTGTTGGCGGTTGTCTGACACGGGAAGAAGCACTTACTGAAGGGGACTGAAACTGAAGGGAATTGAAGGGACTGAAGGGGCCAGTACCACCCATCTACTCTAACCTGCAGATGTTGGTTTGTTTGCGGGCAATATCTCCGGAAGCTGCATCATGCCGAACTCAAGGCAGCAAGTTCTGTTGAAAGCAACGCGGATAGCAACCCAATCATGCATGTTCCCTTGCAAGACACAATGTGAACGTGTTGGTGCTGTTCCATTTCGCCGTTGCTATCCAGTGAGAATGTTGAGGTCGCATAATTCAGTGTATCCAGCACTGGACCACTGTGTCTCACCCCATTTCCACGTGCAAAGTTGCCTATGGAAATAACCATCGCGCCTGAGTTACAAATAAGATTCTGCCTAATGCACTTAAAAAACACGGCACAACCAACAGAATGTCAACACGGACTCACGCGCGTGGGGTATGTACACACTCTCTATCGACGATTGGGGCTGGCAGGAACCAGCCGACAGGCCTGCCCGCCCTTGTAGCGCCAATCCTGGTTTCTTTCAACTTTGGAAATGCTCTTTCTTAAAACCGGCCTAACCTCAAGTTGCAAGTTGCCACAACGTCCAACGCCTCGAGCACATGCAAGTGCAAGAAGTTTCTTTTGCCAGCCCGTTTCATGGGTGGGCTTCATTACATTTTATGGAAGCCATGAAACGGGCATGTCATGGGTTTAGGAATGTAGACTTCCAGCTTGTCGGCACGAAGCGTCTGGATTATCGTAGCTGAGCGTGTTTACACGCCGCTTCCAATGCTGCGACGCTGTCCGTCGAAGCAAAGACATTGAAAGCGTAGGGTGGCGCGCCAAAGACAGCTGTTTTGACATGGTTTCATTTCGGGTTTGGTTGTGCGTTGTGTGTATTGTTCGTAGCACTGCGTCACTGGCTATACGGCAGACACGCGGGCCAGAAAGAGAGAACGTTGTTTGGGCCACGGTGACGAAGGTGAACGAGGCGGTGGTTCAGGAAAAGGAAAAATGAACCAAGCTGTTGGTGATTCTGATCTGGCTGCAGGGCACAGGGCAAGAGCCAAGGCCGAGGAGGACGGGGTGGATATCTCTGGTGTTGTTAATAGCTGTAAGGGCGGTGGTGGTCTACCGCTTGTCAATGAGGCAGCATCAGGGCTTCGCTTGGGGATCAGACGGTGGTGTGGATAGGAGCACCCAAACGGAGGAAGAAGAAGTTTTTAAGATCGAGCACTTTGGTGGCCAGGTCTTCCAGCTCTACCAGCGGAACCGCCTTGAGCGGAGTTCCACCAGGCCGGTCGAGCAGCAGACGGATGAGAGATTGAATGCAAGGCGGCGGCAGGAGCTCCTGAGTTATGGAGCAAATCCGATGGCGTGAGTTGGGAGGCAGTGGAGGTGTCCACATCACCTTGATGGGTGACCGAATCATTGGCGACGAAACTGCTACGGGCTCAGGAACGCCACTCTCCGTGGGATGCGGGCTGTGCTGCCGTGCCCTCACTGTTGGCTTGGAGATCGACAGAGAGCACAAGGCGCAAGATCGTATCGTGGGGAAGATGGCTTTCTGCATGCCAGCGCTCGCTGTGTGGGCATTGGAAGGGAGCCGTTGAACCCCATGCAGCCGTGTAGGTTGGCGTGACCGGCGAGAACTTCGAGAGGATTCAAGACGAGGGCAGATGGCCTTGAGGAGCGATGTAAGATGCGGTATGGACCTTATCGCAAAAAAACACAAGTGGATCCCCCAAAGAGTCACGCTGGTAAAAAGACGTGTCAAAAGCAATATCAGAGCAGATTTTTCAGGGACTCTTGTGCAGTGAAATGAAAGCTGCGCATGTATTTGCGTATTTTGTTTTGGCTAGCGTCACTGGCTTTCAATTTACTTAGAGAGCTGTGGCGTTGACGACATGAGTAGTAAGGAACACCAGCTTATACTACCCTAATTATTTCGTTTTTGGGTTGAAAAACCCTGCAAAACAGCCAAATTCTGCATCCTGCTGAACGTTTTTCCGATGTCACCGGTCTTTGTCACCGCTCCGTTTTTGGTGCAAAAAGGACCGTCTTGCGAGCACCACCGCGGCGGGCATGAAGAAGGTCTTCCAAGCCCTGGGGGTGCCGGCCAACGTGTACTCCGACGACGGCGCCGAGTTTAAGAGGGAGTTCAAGGAGCTGATGGATTTCTGGGACATCGAGAAGCAGGTGACCAGGGGCCACGCCTACTTCGCGGAGCGCACCATCCGCACCATCAAGGAGGCCGTGTTGCGCCGCATAGCAGCCGGAGCGGGCCGGCGGGGGCAGTGGCACCTCATGCTGGCCGACATCTTGAGCCAAATCAACGGGAGGAAGCACGCTACCACGCAGGTGGCGCCGAACCTCGCCTACTCTGACCCCGAAATGGCAGAGATTGCTCTGCGCAACATCGAACGCAGGGCCAAGCACAAGGACCCGCCCGGAAATCAAGGTCGGGATATGGTTCGGATCAGGGTTAAGCCGATCGAAAGCAGGGGCTCCTACAGGGTCAACGAGATAGCCTGGAGCGAAAAGGTATACAGGGTTGTCTCCGCCGAGAGCGGGGAGATGGGGGCGAGGTTTGGCTTGGAGGGGTGGCCAAAAAAGGTGGTGCAGAGGGATCTCCGAAAAGTCCCCGAAAACTCAGCTCCCGAACCGCGGGGGCTGGAGGTGCAGTCCCGCCAGCGGAGGCTACAGAGAGGCCCCAGGCTCCCACCTCCCTTTCCTTTTGATGCTCTCTGTGCCTCTACGATCTCTACTCTACGTCTCTACTCTACATCTCGCGACAGCTCCGCCCGCCACTCACTGACGAGCTTCTTCGTCGGGTCGGGGCGGGGGCCCGGGCGGCCCCCCGTGATCCAGGACCGCGTCCCACGCGTCCCACTTCCCGCTCCACGTATCATGAGCCTCAAACCAGCGCAGGGCAAGCTCTGCCCGCTGGGAGCGCGTGGCCGGCGCTTGAAGAGCCGCAGAGACGTGGCTCACCTCGCTCATGATTTCCTCCAGATCCGTGCTCGCAGCGAAGCATTGCTCCTCGAGGCGTCGGACTTCCGCTTCCTCACCGAGCAGCTGCTCCTCGAGGAGCTCGATGCGGCGGCGCTGGTGCGAGCGCTCGGCCTCGAGCAGCGCGTCTTCGCGAGGCCGCTTGGCGGAAGGCCGCTGGGCCATCAGAGCAGCCGCAAGGCAGGGCGCGTCCTCGTCCGCCCACGCGGCAGGCTTTTCCAGAAGCCATGCCTGCACGCATCGGAAGGCCTTGGAGGAAGTCATCTCTTTGAGCAGCAATGCTTCGCTGCGGCGGTTCGAACTCATTAAAGCGAAACGAGAGCTCGGGATCTTTTTTTCATCTGTACGCTTGCGCGAGGATCCTACTGAGCTGCGCCACCTGCTGGCGGAGAATTCGGTTGCTGTGCTCCACCTCTTCAATGCGCTCCCTGGCTCGCTCGCGATCTCTGTCGATGATATCGTTGAGGCCGCCCACCCGCCTGCGGAGAATTCTGTTCTCGCGCTCCAGCTCCATGCCGCGCAGCGTTTCGACGAGGAGCTCCCAATCGAGGCTCGCGATGC